GTCTTTTATTCGTATTGTTTTATCCCTTTCAGTCGCCGTTTATTAAATCCCGAGTGTCTGTTCATGAAATATTTCGAAAGTGGGCAATTTTTTTCTAAACTAGGACACCTGCACATTACAACGATCATGTCAGTTAACAGCATGGCGACCTTTTAGAGCGCACATGGAAACAAAATACGCCAGGCCATGACGAATTTCCATTGCGGAATGCTGAAGTTCTCACCAAAAATCCATCCAACTCCTGCATTTAAGTTTAAACTAACGAATTTACTCCATAAGCTGACTGTCCAATCTCATCGCACCGCCAAGATATGATTAGTGGATCATTTACCGGAATGATAATGATCGTATTTTTCTCGCATCATCCAGTGTTGTCTCCCAGGTCTTTATTTGCAGTACTGAGTCCAATACTAATCAACAATGGCGGTGTCACAGCGTTTTGGGCATCCCCGCGTTTTGGGCATCCCCATTCCCATATCCCTAGCGTTTTGGGTATCCCCTTCTCATATTACTGCAGCGTTTTGGGCATCCCCCGGTACCCTCCCGGGATGCCCAAACCTCTAGCGTTTTGGGCATCCCCTCCAAAACAATTTGGGATTTCGCGGGAAAATCGAAAACCTTTTAGAGATGGATTCCGCTAAATATACAAATCTGTTCCGGTATCTTAAAAATAAGGTTTATCCGGAAGGCTTTACAAGGCCGGACAAAACAATTCTTAGAAAATTCGCCAAAAAGTTCGAGTATGACTCAAAATTAGAGTCCTTGTTCTACGTGGCCAAGGAGAAGGATGGCACAGCTCTTCGACGTCTTGTTATCGCCGAGGAAGATAAAGCGAGGGTCTTCGAAGAGTGCCACTCTGCTCCTTTTTCTGGACACGCCGGCCGAGATAACACTCTGAGGAAAATCAAAGAGCGGTTTTACTTGCCTGACTACTACAAGGACACGATAGAAATGGTTACAGTGTAGTTACAAATGTTATTTATTTGCCAATTGATCGTGTTTTTAAAACACCCGCGTTGATAATCGAAAACATACGCTAAATTTCTTCTGTTGTCAGTGTTCTTTGAAAGGGTGAGGCATAATTGCATCTTTTGGTAGGTTGTCAAAGGGCATTGTAAACCGGAGTCCTTCTTATAGATCCCGTTTGTTATTATTTTATGTGAAGCCAAAGATCAGAAGTTATATTTCTGAAGGGTCGAGATGACAGATTTTCTGTCAGTTGACCTAAGTGTGGCCTTGAACATCCATTTATGGCACGCCGGCTGTCACGCCCGTGCGCCAAGCACAACATCTCTTCTAGTGACCATCATTGGAGCGTCCATTTATCATAACTACATAACTACAGGATTTTTTCTAGACATGCCTTTCCCTTGCACTGCAGGTTTTTTTTTTTTGGGGGGGGGGGGAATTGTCACCCCACCTCCGGTTATTTCTGATGATTTGAGGCCTCTGTAATTGTGTGACAGCCTTTCCTGTATCAAGTAGCGCTGCGGGGTTAAGTTGTACAGGCCTCAAATGTCATGAATACTATGAATGCAACACCGCAAAACGCAGTTTTATTCATGTTTACCTTTTGATTCCTTTGTTTAGTATTCTTGTTTTTGGCTGTTTGGAAGCAGACGATCGCAGCTGCCGGCGATTGCGGCATTGCTCGCTTGTAAACAGTTCTATTAAATAAAATTGAAAGCTTTGCAAACAATGAAGCTTGTGCATCGTAGCCATGTTATGCGGTTGTAAATTTCAGTTTCGTCATGTTTTGAGCCAACGTTTACTGCCTATGGGTTTTTTTCTGTGCAATTAACCCGGCAAAAAGTGTCGGACGATATAATTCTAACATGCATCTACACTATTTAGCCGTAAATTGGTGATTAACAATCCCGACTTTTCCCCAGTCTGAAATAATTTAGGCAAAGTCGAAGTGATCAGCGTTTTGGGCATCCCCCACCGGGGATGCCCAAAACGCTAGGGATATGGGAATGGGGATGCCCAAAACGCGGGGATGCCCAAAACGCTGTGACAGCGGTGTTAGAACAAAAAGAGAGAAAACTTCATTACCTGGATAGTCCATTACTGAAGCCTTTATATTTCAATGCTCCTCGGCGACGCAACTCTACACGCTGGAGTTAACCTCAACGATATCGAGTGAAATAGAAATTCGATCTTTCCAAGAAGAGCCCTGCGCTATGGGTCCTACAGGCCACAGGATCAATATGTTCCTGACAGATTTTTCACAGTATTAATAAAGTAGATGAGAAAGTAACTCAGCCATCATTTATAGTTTTCTGCAATCAGCGAACGCGCGAAACATTTTACGGTATTGATAGTAAAAAGGAGAGTTTGTAAAAGTGCCAACGAATTGTGTTACAGGCGTTGAAGCAAATGGGTTTTCCGATCCCAGAATCCTACGGGAGGCAGAGGAGGTGTCACACCATGGGGTTACATAGGAATGGAATTCCTAGATGGCGTAAATTATTATTGTATACTCCTGGCATTCGTTTTGGTACTAGCGGCTGATAACGATCGTATTTAAAAAAAAGTCCTGATTTTTCCACTTCTGTTCAACAAGTCTTCAGACGTGTTTTTTCCAAGACTTGATACGGGTGCATCATGTTACATCACGATTAATATTTATTTCCCACTGATGATTTTACGCTTCCTTTCTCTGTTTTAAGAACATTTTAAACGTTTGTCAAAAGATAATACACCCTGATTGTGTGTCTGTCTTACCTGAAGATTAGTTTTGAACTCTGAAAATTGCAGAACACTGATCGTTTCCTAGTATTACAGACTGATTGTTATGTAGAACGTACGAAACTTGAAACTGTATAGAAACTTACCTTTGAAACCCATGTCTTTAAAAGCAAGCAGTCTAAGTAATGTAGCGCCCTCTCATTAGTGTAACTCGCTCTATGTATTTGGCATGTTTATCTGTGGTCGGTAACTATATCTGCATCAGAAATGCCACTTCCGCTTTTTCAGGGAATTTTCAAGCGGGGTCAAGTTATATCCGGAAATTGTGGGAAATGTTTAGCGACACTGCTATAATTAATACTCTAAAACTAGTGCGTGGTTTTCATCCTAAGAGATACAAATGACTTATATTCTTCATTAAGAAATGCCAGTTTTGCCCTCTGTTTTTATTATTATTATTATTATTATTATTACTATTATTTTTTTTTATTTTTTTTTTTTTATTTGCTTATTCAGATTTACGGTACAAAGTTCCAGACTCTCAATTCAAGTGAATTCATTTTCTAGAATCGGAACAAAAATATGGAATGAAATGCCTGTATTAAATCTTTAAGAAAGCTTTCAAAAAATGCCTTTAAGAAAATAAAACAAACACTTTCTGAGATCCTAGCTTCAGAAGACTGTTATATTGATCTCCCAGAAATCGTTGAAAAAGTTAAATTGAATTTATTTTCCTCTTAGTTAGTATGTAATCATTAATATCGTTTAGTGTATCAGTAGTCTGTTGTCATAACTGTTGTCATATATTATTAGTAATACCGTTAGTTTACTGAGTAATCCCTAGTCATTGTTGTCAATTTGAGTTTCTTGAGTTCTCTTGTTACTTTTAGTTGTATTTAGTTGTATTTATTCCCTGTAAACATGACCCACCTAGATTAGCTTAGCTACCCGCGGGCATGTTATAATTGTACTTTTACCTCAAAACACAATAAAAAAATGTGTGCTTGTATGTATGTATGAGTGCATTTGTTTGTTTGTCATTTATTATTCTTGTTGCTGTTGTTATCTATTTTATTCCATTTTATTTTATTACTTTTTTCCTCTACCGGCAATCAGTTTATTGCAGCTCATCGTATTATTTAGAAAATCCGGACCTTAGTGTCCTTGGCAGGCACTGCTTACGTCTCATACTTTCAACGGCTGGTGTACAAGTAGTTCATGGCTCGCGAACAGGCTCCCGTTTGGCCAAGAGCAATAACGCCATTATGGCTCTTGTTATGGCGTGACGACGAGACAGCTTGCGCCCTGGAGCCCCGTCGCCAAGCTCTCCCCACCCCTCCCCAGAAATAATAACATACGGTTTTTTTTGGGGGGGGGTTTGTTTTTTTTTTATGGGGGGGGGGTCCATTGGTGACCTTGTTAACGGGCCTTGTTAACGGGGTTCTATATTTGCTCGCCATTTTAAATGCATGAACAGTCCCAGAGTTTGTATGGAGGCCCTGTGTAAGGGAAGGAAATATTTTTATATCTATGTAAATATTTTTTTGATGGCAATGTTATGGAGCTCTATGAGCATGATAGTAATTTATTGACGATTACAAATTCGTTGGTAAAATTGATCTGTATGCTTTCCATAAAAATAACTATAATTAAAGTACTTATGTGAGATATTTTCATACGTGACTGATATAGGTGACCAATTAGTGAAGAAAAAAAGACTTTGCTTTATGAAGTTTGGTTGTTGATTTCTATATACTTGATAGATTTTTTAAACATGGTGAGAGCTCACTGAGAGCTCTCCACAAATTCTGACAAAAATATCATTTAAGAGAAAGAATAAGATTAAATAAAATAGAGACCCACATACACAATATGTAGGTCGGTTTGAAATCGATCACACAGTTCTGATATCGTATGCATGCAAATCTAGAATCATTCGTCATGGGCGGTAAGCCTTTTTTAGATTTGTTTGATTATGGCGTGTCGTTCATGCTTCAGCTGTACTCCTATGAATTAATTTCCTCTCTTCCCCGTTCACATGGAAAAAAAATACTAACAAAACCAAAAACTTTGAATTAATAACGAAATATAATAAATCAGTATCTGGCACATTTTATTCGAGCAGTAATAAATGCATTTAGTCAGTCATTCGAGTGAGTATGCGAAAAGAATCATTTAAAAAAGAAAACATTAATTTCCATGCCAGGTGATAAGCGGAGTCGTGCGTGGGAAATACGTTATCCGCGTTTGTTTGTTAATCGTGACGTACGTCCAAAACAAAGGCCATAGTCTTTACGTCCTCGATACTAAATTTATCATTTTTAAAGGATCTCTTTACCTGAATATTGCCGGTCTATTATCAAGATACAGCGAATATTTCTTCAGAGTATCGTTAGCTGATGAAACGATTGATGAGCATCGCCTACAATTCAGGACGATGTCGAAACAAGATGATAGGGGGATTTTTCACTTTAGCTACAATCTAGCTCTCGAAGCGGAAGAAAATAATTATCCTCATAAGGCTGGAGAAGATGTAGTGCTTTTGGTGAAAAATAGCTCCATTTTCCGACGCCAGCCAATGTTACGTACATTTAACCAAAAAGATGGAAATAACCCCGAGAAGGACGTCCACGCGAATAGAAGTATTCTATATCATTCTGACAATAAAAGCCTGACAGAACCCAAAATACGGAACCAGTTTATTTTTTATGGAGGCGCAGTTCAAGGATACGTTCAGGGAAAAGAAACCGATGATCATGAACAGGCCTCCGTGGAGGAAACAAGGAAAAGATTATACGGAATGGGAGCAAGTCGAAGAAAACTTGGCTTGGGTGAAGTAACAAACGTTTCTATCATGGGTCACAAACTCAGGAAAAAGGCTGTTTGCGATATTACGGACAATTCACATTACCAAAGGCAGTTTCTACGTGTTCTAAACAAACGTTTCTAGGTCAACTTACTCGATTTGTTTGACAGATTAAGTTATAAGTAGGCTTGGTTTAGCATCATATGCTTAATCTCGTTGTTGCTGTTCATCCATTCATTAACTCATCTTGCAGTTATCGTTGATAAAAGTTCACATTCAAAGAAGGAACATTGTCTATTTTTCGAATCTTTAGTGCAGTTCAATACAATTCCAAACGGTTTTAGTGAGTTAGTCAGTGTTGTAGACTTATTTTTATTTCTGATTATTTCTTTATTCATTCATGTGTATTTAATCAGGTATATTAGGCTCTTTTCTTTTTCTAAAAAAGCTGCGAAAAAACACGAAACAGAAAACATGCAACTTGTCAACTTGTCAAGTTGCTGCAAAACGAGTTGAATAGCAATGTTGTGCGTTTTACTAATCGATTTTCAACTTGTTCTGAAGCAATGTTGCAACATTTTTGTTGCCCGTTTTACCAACGCTGTAGCTTTTGCTTTAAACGTGAATGAGAAAATCATTTATAAACACAGCTCAGTGAAAATTAAAATTTCAGGCAGGCCGGACTCTTTGGTGGGGGGAGGGAAACAGGAGGGGAAACCTCCCACCCCCTGTATCTTGCATATCCGGCTCCCTCCTCTCGTTGTCCTGGGTTTGTTCCTTAAACCCTTTTTCCATTGCGATCAGGAGGGAGGGGGCGACTCTATTGTTTTCGAATTACGTTTATTGACCCACTCCTCGTGCCAGTGTGACGTCACATAGCAACGGGTGAGTGCTTCGCGTTGCTTCTGCAGATTAGCATGGGACGCCATCGAGGAGAGAACAACAGAGGCCAAGAAAGACAAAACGCTAGGCTAATATCGCTATTGTTCGCTAATTTGATCGTAAGTGTGTGTGCTTTATTGTTGCTTTTATCTGTTTGTGTAAACCTCTAGAGCGTTTTGTGTGCGTAACTGTGTAATTTTGCCGCTTTGTGCCGAGGGTTGTTTGGCGGGACCGCCATCTTTTCTGTACGACCAGTCAGATCATCATCGATCAGTCACCTTTTTTATCCAAATTACGCAACGGATAGCCTTCAGGATAGGAGGTTTTATTCATTGATTACACTCCTTTAAGGTGCGCCTATTCTTTTGTGGATTGGATAAGCCGTTCCTCATATCAATCCGTTCGAGTGTGGGCTTTTGTTGATTTCTTTCTGTTTCTTGATATTTCCCTCCAAATTTCACAGCCCTGACACAGCGGTGGGATTGATTTGTCTTTCTAAATACTTACTTTTGTTGAAGGTAGTTATATTGGTTGCTTGTTTTTGAATTTGTTGTCTTTTAACGCATCTAATCGCTTTTAAAAATAAGCTTCCTGATTGTGTGGTAGTTTTAATCAGTGTTGAATTTTAATCGCTGCTTCCAGGGAGGTAAATATTGTTGCAGATCAGGGGTGTTGTTGTTTATATCGTGTTTTGCTGTGCTTGCGTGGCCTTGAAAATCATTTCATTGTTCCTTTCAAAAACAGCGTGCCCTCGGGAATAAGCTGTATTTGGTTTTCATATTTGGTGTATGTAAATAAAGTCTGGTGTTGAACACACAAGTGTGACACATAATTGACCTTAAATCACAACTTAAATTAATTCACCAAATATTTGATAATTATTTCAATTAAATAAAGACAAAAATGCAATAAAAACGTCTTTAGTAAATGGAATAATCAAAAGAAAAGTGACATATGGTACTTTTTGTATTATTGGTAACAACAATTTTTCTGTGTGATTTAGTCTTCAACATTAGTTATTTTTTCCCTGAAAAATGCTTTTTCTTTCTGCATCTTGTGGCATCTGTTTTATATAGTCATGTCATAATGGCTTCTATTTCAGAAGCATTTCCAAACTTTGCAAGGCTTCCTTACAGACTTTATATCCCTTCAAGTTTGTGCCAAACTCCAATTAAAAAATGGCATGCTAATGGAGTGGGGCAAGTTCTTGTCGCTAAAATTGATTCAAATTTGGGTGTGCTTCAGTGGGCAATGTTACTGTTATTATGTTTGTGTTTGCAACAGTTTAAAACAAGGCATTTCCATCTCATCCTCCTATCCAATTTACTCTATTCGACTTTAACTCTGGTTTGTGTTGTAGTTACAGTCATCGTCCTAATGAACTGGAAAGTCATTTGCAACACTTTTTCAAGGCAAATTGCAAAGTACAGCCAAACACTAAATTATTTGCTGGAGATTAATTTCTTTCCTTCTGTTTTTATTACAAAATTATTTTTACATCTGCTTGAACCTCTTTACAAGACCTGCTTACAGTTCAAGTCAACATCCAAATACTCCCTTGTGCAATATTTTTTGGAGTCTAGCATCAAAAGTTTTCTTTCCACTGTTATGGTTACATGCCTTTTACCGTATTACAGCATCTTGTTTAACATTACAACAATTCAATTTCTGGCAGTGGGAAATTCAGTTCCCTTTTACTTAGCAGCCACTGTTCTCCTTCTGACCATATCTGCTCTACCCTATCAATTTCTGGCAGGTTTTTATTTGGTAACTGCAATAACAGTTGGTGAGAGCTTTGATGCTAGTTCCATTCATTCTACAGACCTTCCCCTATTGTTCCCTGCTTGTATCTTTTCCTTGGTATGTTATTAAGCTATTCTTGTCTAAAAATGGTAAAATTTCACCACCCTGGCTTTTTCTTCAGCATGGTGTTCAAGTCAAAAAGGTTTGTTACCTCTATTCTAGTTACAGATGTAACAGGAAAATCACACTCTTTTTCCTTTGCACCATATGCAACTGTCTTTGACTTGAGATCACAGATGAATTCCAAATTTAACATAACTAGTGATTTATACTGGCTATCAAACTGAGGTAAACCTTTGCATGACTTTGTGTCATTAAAAGAGATATCAGGGGCCGTAATTATGAATGGGCATTTAACTGGAGGTGCTAAATGTTGCTTTAAGGGGTGTGAAAATGATGCAGGTGCATGCAAATTTGACAGCCTTATTGGAAAATATGAAATTAAGTGTAGCCCTCAATACCTTATTGGGGACATGGAAAATGAAAAAAATCTAAGAGTGTGAGATAAACACTATGCCAGTTTGGCATCCAGGGGTCATAAGCCTGCAAAAGGTAAAAGTTCATCAAAATCTCGAAGTGACGCCCAGTGTGGCATTCTAAAGGTCAGTCCATGCACTGTGCAATGTTCGCAGTGCAGAAATGAAGCTAGTCTGTCTTTCCAGTGATGCTCCCTGCAATAAACACAACATAAATGTATTCAACAACTTGTTTGCAGTACCATGCAACCTTCTAGATGAGCAAACTGGAAATAAAACTGATTTTCACAATGACCTTTATCATGCTAAAGATTCAATTGATGAATCTAAAACAAGCAACATATGTATATCGTGTCAGCCCTTCTTTCTGAGATCTGTAAAAATACAGGGCCCGGTTCCTGAGAGGCCGATTAGCGCTAACCCAGGATTAAGATTTTGTTCCACTTTTGTATTTACCTTGCTTATGGTAACATTTTGTGTAAATCGTTACCGTGTCTCAGAGTAAGGGCTCAACAGTACTTTGTGAGCTTGAGTTACATGCTCTTAGCAAGAAAACCATGCTTAATATTTCGCTTAATCCAGGGTTAAACTTAACCATCATTCTAGGAACCGAGCCCAGAATGAGTACGAGAAGGCTCAACCTCTGTTTGAAGAAACACAATGTTCACAATGTTCCAATACATCATCTTGGCCTGACCCCGCTATTAATTTTTTCAATTTTTTTAAATTTTGTAAATGAACAATAGTGAGCAGCACAAAGCAACGCGAGGATCTTGTTTACTTGATTTCATTTCTCTGAGCGGTTTCGTCTGATCACACAGACTTCATCAGGGAGTATAACAAGATAGAGCTAAGGAAATAACTTTATACCTAATGATTAAGACAAAATCACGTTCCTGTAAGTGTGCAATGTTTAACTTTGGGGCTCACAGATTTAACATTAAATCCGTGAGCCCCAAAATTAAACATTGCAAATTTTGTAATGCAGGATTATAGTAATATCCTGCACGCATATTTTGTGGGTGTTTTTTGCTGTTCACACCCTTACAGGCACGTGATTTGGTCTTAATCATTAGGTATAAAGTTAGTTCCTTAGCTCTATCTTGTTATACTCCCTGATGAAGTCTGTGTGATCAGATGAAACCGGTCAGAGGAATAAAATCAAGTAAGCAAGATCCACGCGTTGCTTTGTGTTGTTCACTAGTGTTCATTTAAAAAATTAAAAGATTAAAAATATTTAAAAAATTTAAAAAATAATACAACGTTAAAAAGTTAAAAAATTTAAAAAATAAGAAAATTTAAAAAAAATCAAAAATTACAAAAAAATCAAAAATTACAAAAAAAAAAACAAAAAAAATCAAAAAAATTAAAAAATTAAAAAAAAAGGAGTAAGCCAACACACGACCCACCAAGAGAACTGAAAATTGGTGTGAGAGACGAAGAGCTGAAGAGCTATCCTTTGAGCAATCACCAGAGAATAAAATTATTTAATCATTTAAGGAAATGATTGCTGCCCTACAAAAGGACACATTGCCCTCTAGTGATAGTGAAGAAGAATTTGAAAGTGATTTTAGACTGTTAGACAGTTCAGAAGATTTATTTTTTCAAAGACTTGATGAGCCCACTGAAAATGAAAAGCAAAGGATGTGTGCCAAATATTACATGTCTGATTTGTTTGACCAAACATATGATTATCAAATGGTAAACACAACAGAATTATGGGAGTATGGAGAATGTGACAGATCACTGACACCAAAGCTGGGAAATGATTTTAATCGCTTGGAGCAAGTCATGCGTTTCATTTTGAAGAAGGGATTTCAAGACCCCCTGATTATTTCCTGTGACCTGCACACTGGCTGTGCTTATTTGACTGAGGGGGACCATCGCCTCTGGGTGGCACTGAGAGAAAAAATCCCTTTTGTAGCCTGCCATGTGATTCCTCCTCAATGGTTTCCACCCAATGGATCATTTAAAAATGTCAATGCAGGTCTTACAATATTACAGTGTAAGGAAGTCATACTTCCAGAGCATTTAGGACTAACAGTTCTCAACGCCAAGCAAGTTCAGTCATAAATCAATAACTCCCAAACAAAAATCCTGGGGTAAGCTTATAATTTGACAATCTGAAGCAAAACCCTCATTCTGCTTTAAATGGTAATTTGCCACTGAATTGTCCTGAATGGGGTTTGATGTCCTAGGTCATGAGTTTAAAACACTGTTAACAATTTCACTACTAAGCGTCTTGAACAGGGTGTCCTTAAATGCCTCTGTTAATAATGAATTTCATTGGCTCCAAGACACAAGACAATACTAGTTGCTCGTGGAAAGGCATTTTGAATAGACCACTTAGTTAATTTTGGTAACAATAACATGCACAAAGCTGCATAGAGCCAGATGTGCTTTACACAAAAATAATAATTGAACAAAACTGTTTTCCTTCGGGAATGAGTTAGAAAATTACAGGAGTATTCCCTACACAGGGAAATGCATTGAAACAAAAGATATTAACACTCACCTCTTTTCCGCCCTGCCGCTAAACGAACTTTGAAGGGATTGATATGATGAACCATCAACAATGAAGACCTGAGATTACACGTACTCAAAGCCTGTTATGTCCTTAGATGAACCTCCTATTGCTGAGTCGAGACACCATAACATCGCTGTGCACTGGCCCTCGAAAGTGTGACCGGTAGATATGACTGCTCGACAATCATACTCGATGATCGAAAGGAATCTTAAAAAATCATTACACCTCTGAAGGTTTCATTCAAAATAAGTACATTATACTGGTTTTCTGTTTCAATAGGAATCTTAACATTGCCAAATCTAAGAAAATGAAACAAGATAAGCGTAAGAAATTCTATTATTTTATCCTCCTCATCAACAACGACTTTGCCCGCCATTTTGAAAAGTCACCGAAGCGAGACATGACGTCATACTGGCATGAGGACTGAACCACCGATTTCCTTGGAGACGCCCCCTCCCTCCTGATTGCGATCATTATGCATTTTTGCGTAACCCCCCCCTTCCAATTTCTCCCGCCTCCCGTCCATTGAGAATTTCCGTTCTCCGATCCATGCCTCCTCCCCCCCACCCCCTCCGCCCCTACAATTTCTATAAGAAAAACAAGCATTCTTGATCACTGCTTTAAACGTGTAAAACAACGAACGTGATCGAAGCCTTCCTCTGTCAATAGGGAACTTAAGCTGGAGACGTTTTCGGGGCGACGGCAACTTCAACCGGACGTGACGTCATGATTTGTGCAATATTGTGCATGCTCTTGCTTACCACATTGCCGTCGTGCTCCCGTCGGCGACGTGAAACTGGTCTGTTTGGCGTCGTGGCGAGAACGTGAGTATTTAACTTTCATTTCAATCAGGTTTGTTGCGTTTAGCAACCAGAATTTTGCAGATTATCGTTCTTAAATGGTCCTTTTTTTATTTGAGTCACATTTCAAGCTCGATCTCCAAGCTCTGTTATCTAAACTTACATCTTTATAATGTTTCTCTGTTTCATGTCACAGAGTCAAGATCCAATCTGATCCAATATGGCAAACAGCAAACCGTAAGTGAGCTTTACATGGATAAAATTGTGCTACGAGCCAAATGAAAGTGTCCAGACAAAAAGTATGAACTCCGATATTTGAATTGTGTGTTTTTAGCTCACTTTTTTCGTTAGAATATCGTGTAAATGAAACGTATGTATTGAAAATTGTTTAGAATAGAACGTAATACGACGTACTAACGTGGGAATACTGAAATAAAGTTGTTGTTGTTGCTGCTATTGTTGTTGCATGCAAGCAAATAAGCATTATTCTCTTAATTCTTTATGCGTAGCCATATTTCTCTCTTCGGTCGTCTTCCAAGGCGCCGTCCTGCTGAGTTCACTGCGATCTTAATATTCGAATTTTGGAGGGAAGCGACGGCAACCTCTGTTCCAGGCTTGCTCTGCCAGTCCGGTCGCCGTCGCCCCGAAAACGTCTCTATCTTAAGTTCCCTAAAAGCTGAATGAGACTGTAAGGGGCTTACTATGGATTAGAATGCTGAGTAGCGGGGAAAAGGCAATGAGAACTGCACCTGGAGGCTGTGACGATAAAAGTCTTCCAACGAGTTAATTAATTCACTAAAAGATTAGAATCGAAAAATTATCATCTGCTTTATCGTCAATAGAGAGACTCTGCTGGGTTCTCTATGAAAGATCTACTATGATATCGTGGCTTACATCGCTGCTGCGGGCTTTATCTAATATCCAGGAAAAAAGAGAATTAGACTAATGGCACTAGCTAAAAAAAAAAGAAAGCTTAGCCGGATAAGTAGTAGGTATTGGACGAGATCAGCAGAATTCTTCATATTATATGAAAGGCAAATCCAATAGTTGTTTATTCATTCAAAATAATAATTTCAGCTTGAAAACATGTTAACTAAATCGAATGCAGTCACAAGATGACTAGATGACTAAAGTTTGGTTAGTACGCGTCACTAAATCATTTCTCAGTTTACTTAGATTTTGCTTTTGTCGGTACAGTTTTACTACCAACGATTATGAGAAAGAGTGACATTTTAAAACAAAATCAACGTCATAAGCTTTATTTGTAAAATTAACCCTTGTTTTTGAGCTGTACAAAAGTTATGAAAGAAGGTCTCAACGATATACAAAGTGACAATGCAAAAACTTTCGGATTAAAGAATTAGAGTACATTTCAAATATACTAAAACTTATACCAGCATTACGGATACGTTGCATTAAGCAAATAAGGGGTCGAAACACCCTGCAAGCAGAAGCTTCGTTTTGTTTCCTTCTTGATCGATGCACGAATCGAATAAGATCTCTAATGAGCATTCGCCGCGTGTTGGAAGGCTAAAGTTTCGAACCCAGGCCTAATAGCCGTGCGCTTAATACGGATGCTCACACTCGTAAATACTCTTTGACGAGAAAAGTGGTTCAGTACAGTAGTTCGACCTGCGCTTGACGCGATTTACTCTGAGCGGAGTCTTTCTCGAGTAGGTCGAGAAAGCAACCTCGTCCCTAAGGCGCTTTTCCTTGGCTTTGGAGGTGGGGCTAGACTGCGTAGCAGGCGCTTGGAAATAATGGGCGCAAGAAAGAAAATCACATTTGCTCAGTGAAAATGTAGAACCTTCCAGAGCATAATCTACCCAGAAGATGAAAAACAAAATATTGGCACAAGCAGCATTTTGGCGTAAGGTAAAAGTCGTGTAGGCCTTCCGCCCTCTTTTATTTATGGCTCATCCACATCGAAGCTTTCGGGTGGCATATCCTTTGATAGACGCTTCGACGGCTGACGCGAAGACGGTGAAAGTTGAACGCATCGCTTTACAGAATATTCTGAGTTTAGATCAGACGGCGTATTGTTTACAAATTGAGCTCTGCGAATAAACAGGTCCATTTTGTCTACGAATGTAACGCCGCTCCTACATAACACTGATGAACTCGTGTCGTCCTCAGAAATTGTTATACCACAGGTTTTATAAACTTTTGAATACTGATCTTTAGATAAGCCGGCCTTGCTGAATATTCGAAGCATATAGCGAAGCATATAGCGAAGCATATAGCGACTCTCCTGAGAACTTCCTGAGAGCACATCAGAGCCTGCAAACTGGATTTCTTGAAGAAATCTTCGTTGGAGTGGACATACTTTCCGCCATTTCGACTTTGGTATAATGCATAAATTATTTTCATTTGGCCATTTTCTTACATGAATTACCTAAATCAATCAACCAATCAAAATGATGTAATGGCCAGCCGATGCCCGGCCTTTCCCGCCCCACCGCCCTGGGGACGAGGTTGCCGAACTACTGGCAGGGTGGGATCGAAAAAACAAGATGGAGTCTCCCCTAGCCCCAACCCACCAAGTTCGAAACAAACGTCAACTCTTCGGTGCTGATGTAGATCGCAAATGAAACTGCTTGGCCTTATTTATAACATTAAGCCTTCTCAGTTGTTCTTTTGCGCGTTGCTTCGCAGCCCACTTTGCTTTCATTTCCTTATATTTCCTGTCTTCGTCGCTTAGCTCTTGAAGTGCCTTCATTGTCTGCCAGATGTCATAAACAACTTTGGCGTCCTTTTGTCTTTCCTCCTCGGAAATGTCTTCTTGTTGTTTTTGTGGCTCGCTCTGGGTTCGCAAGCGTTCAAACCTAGCTTGATGGTTCTTAAGTGCCAGCCAGTCCTCGTAAGTCTTGTAACGTGGATTCAGCCACTTCTGTAACCTATCTATTTCCGCCAGTCTTTGTTCCTCTTTCTCTGTAGTTATCTTTTGCACCAGCTCAATCTGCTTTTGACTGTGCTTTTCTTTTAACCACACTTCAAACGTTTTGCCACTTCTCGAAGTGTTTTTGTCTTGTTCGTTGTAATATTCTCCGCCATGAACAGACTGCTCCAATGTTTTCTTTTCTGCTAGCCAAACCCCGAATGGTTTTCCAGAAACATTTTGTTTTCTAACTTTGTTAGTCACTCCTGATGTTGAATCAGGGGACTCGGTGACGTGATTTACAGCACTAAAGGGACGGTTTGATAACTTTGTTTCAAGCCAGCGTTCAAACGTCAATCCTCCACAACTAATGAAAGTCTTTTTATTAGAATAACAAGATTCAGAATTCGACTGCGTCCGTTGGTGTCGCTTACTATTCAGCCATTTCTTGAACGACTCTGGATCAATACTCTTTCCAAGCCTGCTTTTCTGTGTTGGCGCAGTTGATGGTCTGTTTTTCTCTTGAGATCGCTTCATTTGAAGCCAGTCTTCATAGGATTGAGAAGGTTTCTTACAAGAGTATTCTTTCCGAAGATTGATTAACGTACTTTCCTGCTGCGGTTCTAGTTCGCTCTCCGATTCATTTTTATCCCATGCATGTAACTTGTCTTGCTCGTATAACGACGATATAGTTTTCATCTTTTCAACTCTTGACTCGGTCATCAGGATGTCCAATTTACGGATTCCATTAGATCTACCTGAAACAGGCCTGCTAAAATAAGATCAAACACAGAAATTACGATGCGCCACAGGTTACACACGTTGCGAAAGCCGGAAGCAACGATCGCATAAACAAGTGTACAAAAGGACTAAAACACTACTTTAGTTTGAAATACAGCTGGTAAAACTAGCGATGCGAACCAGCCTTTAGCGAAAAGCGCAGGGGCTAAGTTGCTCAGTCTTTGTAGAATTTGTAGGTTACGTAAATGGAGGTACACTCAAGATGTTAACTATTAGCTATCATTTGTCACAGTCTGATTGCTTTCTGCCGAGGCAATTTTAAACCCTGCCTTTCGACAATTCCACTCTCTCAACCGAGTATTCACCTCTCAGAGAGGACTTTTAAAGCCACGTACATTAGCAGAAGAAACTATGAGAGTGTTGTTTGGATCGATATTCAGTGCTGATTGATTTGGAATGATGAATTCCTTAGTAGTCCGTCCTTAAACAGTCTTTCGATTGGCGTTTAAAAATTATTTTTCCGTGGTAGTAAAACTATAAGATATGATCAAGATAAACCTAAATATTCTTAAGTGATTAATCCGGTCACTTTTATCAACAAAATTAATATAAACGTGAATAAAAGGTCCGAAAATCATAGCTACCTATCTTGCTCTGGGTGCTTAGACTCCTCTGTGACTCGATTATCTTGTCCTTGATGTTCAGCGTGTCGATTGCCTGTGAGAATTTCTTTGTTTGTTTGGTCTTTACAGCAAAAAACAAACAAACAAAAAATAGATCGCTGACTTTTCTTTAATTTAGTGGCCTAAACCATCCAGCCATACAGACAAACAATGACAATCATATATTTCCTCCGTGAAAAAATAAGATATAAAATCACGTTTACGCGAACATTAGTTTGTAGCACGTGACCTTGTTTCCCTTCAATTTTCTTTATAGAAAAGACTGCCTCTTACCCAGACGTCTCTTTCTCTCTCGATGCGGGCAAACGAAGGCGGGAAGGAGAAAACGGGCGAGACGTGCTTCGCCTCTCCTTCCCGCGGTCCCTAGCGCTTTGTGAACAGTTATATACTTGGGTTTCGCGCTCGCCTGTTTGCGAAAAAAAAGCGTCTGAGCTCGAGGGGTAGGCAGCAGAGAAGTTAGTTTCGGGCCAGATTTATTTGTTCTGTTTACGACGCTTCTCAAAAACACGCGAACTCTGAAGTTCAAAAGGCGCCTTCACAATTGCGTTTTTTGCTGCCGTCAATCATAATTACGATTACACGGCAGCGAACCGCTTGAGACAAAGAAACACGTAAAACGGGTTGAAATCCACTAATCGCAAATCACAAACCATAGACCTTTTGAACCCATTGAAGTAAACTTCTCTTCGCTAAGAGGTCCGTTTAGATGATTGACGGCAGCGAATAACGGAATCATCAGTTGGCTTTTAAACATCAGAATTCGAGTGTTTTTTAATAGGTGAAGTAAATTTGGACATTTTCTGTCGGCTCATTTTCTAATCATGAGAACTCGTATCCCTGAGTCCCCTGAAGTTCAACCTGACGTTTCCTGATTATAAATATACATGACACCTGCTTAATTACACGCTAAGCTATAGTGAAATTACCAAGATAAAGTTCTACTGAGAACGGCTTTTAGAATCCGAGTTTCTGAAGCTATTCTTTTTGTTCGGAGGAGTTTCTTGCACAAAGTCAGGAATAATATAAACTTGGCTGAAGGCATACTATGCAAACACCGAGCCCACGACACATAAAAGGCCGTCAATAGCATTGCAGAAGGAAAGTGGGGGGTTCGAAATATAAAAACAAAGCATGACATCGGTCTACAAAGGACCAATTATCTGAAGACTGACATGCAAATAACTATTTTGATACCTAACTTCCTAGCCTTGTGGCTACAGCTTACCGTCACTCTTTTCCTGGCAGCTTGGAGTGTTACTCTCGACTTCTCTTTTAAATCTTGCACACAGCTCTCATTGGCATTGTTGTTGACCTCTCCCACAAGCTCTACCTCATTCACTAAGGGTGTCGTGGTGTCTTGGTCTTCCACAAATTCTTCCTTCTCTAATCCATTTTGAGTCTGGGTTGGTAAATGAAGTGTCGTGTCTTTATACTCCTGAAACTCTCTCCTGTACTTATCAGCTACTTGTACGGTAGGAAAGGGAACCTGAGGTGGTTCATAACTGTTTATTCGACGGCTATGTCGTTTGCCATCGTCGTTTATAACGCGAGGAAGTTGAAGACGAGCTGCCTGGAGAATAAAGTCAGTAGAAGGGTCATAAAAAGGTAGCAAATCAAATTTATTCTTACGAGCCTTTTTAGAGGATATATTGGGCGCTTTCCATTTACGAAAAAAACCCGGAAATTTCGGTGGTAGCAAAAGTGGAATTTCCGATCGGTAAAAAGTTGTTCCATTTGGTCGTAAACCCCGGTACGTGGCCGGGTGCCCGACCGTGGACCTGGAACTGGTACAAACTACAAGAAACGTCAATGGAACACGACATTCCGTTCGGAAATTCCAACCGGGAAAACGGGACCACCTTTTTAGATTTTCCACTTTTTCTGGGAATTTTCCAGTGGGACGAACCGACGAAACGTGTTCCATTTACCGCCGAACCGGAAATTCCGGAAATTTTGACTAAATGGAAAGCGCCCATTAACAATCATTTCTTTTTTCAGTTACCTTAGTTAGCCCTCCTTAGTTTGCTACACAGCTCTTTTTAGTAACGTCAACGCAACGCTCCCCCCGGAGGAGCGTTGCGTGACGACACTGAAAACGGCTGTCTACCAGACTAAGGCCTCCTAAGAGTGTATCAACAATCAGTGATCCACTGTATACTGAAGAGAGAATGTCTTATGATAGAAATGAATTCAACCTTAAAAAGGTTGAATATTGTCAACTTACTACACTACTACTTACTCCACTTGGATTAAACCCTTGAGAAAAAACTTCCCATCTCCTTCCTTCTCCCTGATTTGAAGCTCGGGTTTTGAAGTATCCTTAGGCTTCCATTGAGTTTAGAGGTTACCTTCAGTAATGCTTAAAATAGTACCCAGCTTCAAATAAGCGCCTTCCTTTAGACTGGAAAAATTAAGGTGGCCGAACCTATTTATGCGCACTTTGGTTATGCTTTTGAATCGTCTTTTTTGGCAGAAATGATTTAACCAATTTCTATGATTTTTGGCATCCTTAATAAGGAATGGTCGAACTTTAAAAAAAATGTTATTTATTTTCTTGTAGCTAAAAATTTTTGAGATATTGGCATATGTTTAACACCGCATTTTTACAAAAAATGTCAAGTAAATAATTTCAAAACCCTAAGACAGATTTTTCTCTAACTTCGGCAAATAAGCCTCAGAACTCTCTAGTTTTATATCTGCAAGTTTGAAGTCAATCGTGACCGTAGAACGCCCTGCACAAATATAGCTGGTCAAATTTAACCTTAAAATGCAATGCTAACACATCTGTGAAAGTTGACGCACGAATACAGGAAGACTGCCCGCGGACTATCTCCTATCTGCAAAGGTATTCTTGCCCAAAGCTTCAGTTGCAAGAAACTGAGTAATCAGAAACATACGGCGAATACAGTTCGCAATACAGGAAGAACAACTTTATGCTGAATACGGGGCGAGGTAAAATAATTTCTATTTATCAAACTTACTTCCTATTTGTCCCTCTCTTTTCGAAATCTATCTCAACAAGGCAAATTCTATTATCTACGAAAAACTCTCAAGAGTCGTCGTAGTTTTCCGTTTTGAGGAGAAATAAAGCCGTCAACTCCAGTACTTCTGTCCATTTTTCGGCTGCATTGAAAGTCCATTTACTTGGTAATTTATTCAAGGTTTTTAGACTTGACATCACATTTGCTCGGGAAGTTTGCCACTTGGGATAAAGATGAAGAAAATATGATAATCATCTTATATATATATATATTTTTTTTTTTTTCATTATCTCCAATGGCAAAATGCCCTGGCAAATGTGATGGCAAATCTTTCAAACTTGAATAAATTACCTAATACAAGGGTTTTCGTTGAAAATGGATCGGTTGAAGTACGGGAGTTGGTAGCTTTATTTCTCCTCAAGACAGGAACCTTCAGTGCTAAAAACCGGTAGGAGATTTCCGTAGATGTTATATATCGTGCTTTGTTGAGACTTTTTTGCAGAACAGAGAAGGTAAAATACACAGTAACTTTGATAAATAGAAGTTATTTAATCTTGCCCCGCATTCAGCATAAACTTGCTCTTCTTGTATTGCGAACTGTATTCGCTGTATGTTTCTGATTACTCAGTTTCTTGCAACTGAAGCTTTGGGCAACAATTCTCTTGCAGACAGGAGATAGTCCGTCGGCAGTTGTCCTCTATTTGTGTGTCAACTTTCACAAATGTGTTAGCGTTACATTTTAAGGTTAAATTTGACCAGCTATTTGTGCAGCGAGTTCTACGGTCACGATTGACTTCAAACTTGAAGACGTAAAACTAGAGAGCTCTGAGGTTTATTTGCCGAAGTTATAGAAAAAACTGTGTTAGGGTTTTGAAATTATTGACATTTTTTGTAAAAATGCGGTTTTAAACATATGCCGATATTTCAAACGTTTTTACACCTACAAGAAAATAAATAACATTTTCTTCAATTTCGACCATTCTTTATTAAGGATGCTAAAGATCATAGAAATCGGTTGAATCATTCCTGCCGAAAAACACGATTCAAAAGCATAACCAACGCGCATATAAATATGTTCGGGCCACCTTAAGTAACTCAATCTCTCCTTACTGAATGTAAGTATTAGGTACCACAACGACAAGAGGAAATCGATGCACTATCGGAGGTTGAAGACGCGAGCTCCACGTGCACGTGCTTGAATAAGCTACACGTAAAACACTTACGGACGAAAGAACGTTGAAAACCAAGTATAAGTAACAAACATACACATGATCAAGAATCTGGTCACCACTATATGTGTTTATTGCACGCAAATAATTTCTCTGTTTTTGTTAATGTCATATTTCACTAAGGCTATATTGACACCTGCCTCGTACCCTGGTGCGTTCTAGCGGATGCGAGAACGATTCGAGAACGACTAGAGCGATTTCAGTTCAATTCCGCACAAGGTATCAGCGTCCTCTGCGTCAACGCTAAAAGTTCCCATCGTTCATTACGCGATACTATCACTCGTAGTCGCGTTTTCCGTTTTTCCAAACATTCTTGACACGCCTAAGAACGAGGCATTGCTGACACTATACGTGCCGCCTCGAAAAGTTATCCGGTATTAATAGTATAAAGAGCAACGGCCAGGGGCTAGCTCAAGTGGTTCACACACATTAAACATCGTGCCGGAGCGGTTGGCCAAGAGGGTTAATTTGGTGAGCTAAATCCCAGTCCCGACTCCTGAATATTTACTTCTGTCTTAGGGGATTCCAGTCCCCTACCCATTTACTTCAGCGGCAGTCCGAAAAGGTTTTCACACTACACCAAAACTTATTGGATCTGTGACTCTCCACTTTTGAAACCAGCGCGGCACTCAGTAACAGAAATCGCGCTGAAATCACCGTTCTTGATTGTGAACAGAAGCCTATCCCATAAGATTTTCGTGGCTGCGCAAAAGCTATCCGTTATGGTTTGAACATTTCTTGAATTTCAAAAAACCTTACCGTTGTTTCTTGTTCACTATTGTTGTGTATGATGCCATTATTGTTGTTATCAGACTCTTCCTGTCTTCTTGGTGTAAATGGTAACTTCTTGA